AGCTGGTGAATCAAAATGGCCAGGGCGATGGAGATGCTTTCTTCTGCATCAACCTCAGTTGGCCTTGCTCTTAGGGGTAGTCACCCTGGCAAATTGTCTCACCCAAGCTCATTCCCTCTGAGTGGATGCCCATGCAAAGCAGTCCTGGAGATCAGGGTAGAACTAACTCTTCACAGGCACAGGAAACCTGGTCTTTCTTCTGTGGAGCAGCTGGTGGTTTCAAACTATTGACCTTGCTGTTAGCAGCCCACTCTGCCACCAGGCTTGAGCAAGACAAATAGTAGCCGTCTTTGGAAGTCATTAGACATTGAGACGGGATCATCTGAGCTGCTCTGCGCCCAAGGATAGTCCTTGCCCCAGAAGGAGGCAGCAAGCTGGTAAACAGGTGCCTCAGAGTTATAATGTATATGTTTAGAGGATAATTATTTTGCTTTTCACCTTGAGAAAATGTGTGTTCAGGTCATCTGACTCAGAAGCGTAACTGGAATGTCCTCCGATAATATCTTTATCCCCGAGTTTTACATATCCCGTCTCTTTGGCAGAAAGACTGAAAGCATAGGTGGTCTATGAAGAACTAAGGAAAGTCTCCACGATTCTAAGATCCCCAGTTCTTGCAAATTGATGAAGGAGCCGTGGTGGCATGTGGGCTATGCATTGAGCTGCTAACCACATGGGCGGTGGTTTGAACCCACCAGCTTCCCTATGGGAGAAAGATGAGGCTGGCTGCTCCCATGCAGATCTGAAGTCTCAAAACCCCCGGCCCAGTTCTCCCCTGCCCCTTCGGGTCTCTGAGAGATGCAATCGACTTGATGGCAGTGAGTTTGGAGTTTGTTGGGTTTGGGGGAGACAGCTGAATCGCTGGGTGAGAACAAACCACTAACACATCCAACTACTAACCCAAAGGTTGGAAGTTCGATTTCACCCAGAGGTTTCTCTAAAGAAAAGTCTGGCAGTCTAATTCCAAAAGTTCAGCAATCGCAACCGGGGCGTTGAATCGGTTTTTGCTTTTCTGCCCCAGAGACACCGAATCCCAATCTACCATTGACCAAGCTCTAGAAGGACCACCAGGGACCTTGCTAAAGTATACATTAACCAGTTTCTGTGTCAGTCCATCTGGGGTGGCAATGGACATTTTGAGCAGGAGGCTAAAGCTGAATCAACTGATTTGAAGCCCTGATTGAAAACCCTGAGAAGCACAGTTCTACTCTGATGTACTTGGGGCTTCGTGAGTCTAAGTTGGCTTGGCGGCAACTGGTAAATAACTGAGCTGAGGAGAGTTGGACACCAGTGTGCGTGTCCCTGACTTAAACAGGATACTGTCGGTCCAAAAACCAAACTCACTGCCATCAAGCCGATTCCGACTCAAAGCGACCCTGGACGGCAGAGTAGAACTGCCCCACATGGGTTTCCAAAACAGGAGATCCTTACCGGAGTAGAGAACCTTCTCTCTCTCTCTCTCTCTCTCTCTCTCTCTCTCTCTCTCT